ATCGCCCCAAAAGGGGGGGGAGCCATTTGAAGCACGACTTTAGCCTGATTGGACATTACAACACTGATAACTACTGTAGCCATCAGTGGCGGCTCCTGAAAAAATTCTCAGGAGGGGCAATTTTTCTGATGATTTAGGTGACCTACACACGTGCACGAGTCCGTGCACGCGATTCCAGATATCTTTACCTCTGAATAAACTGCCTTTATTATACCATATCCACCCTGTCCAAAGTCTCTACTTGGTCTCAGTTCTCCAGTAAACTTGTGATTATCAACAGTACACAACGGTAACAAACAATTGGGGGAACTCACGGGGCAGATAGTAACCACTTAAAAGGAAGCGATTCCCAAACCTTCCATAACAAAGCCATCACCTACAGAGAGATGAACTTGGAGAAGAGTCCCCTAAGTAAGCTTGTCCTGGGCCTCTGTTCACAAACACAAACAGACCCCACACAGCCCCAGGACAACAACAACAACAACACAATTAGACCCAACCAAATCATGAGAAAACAAAAAGAGAATTACTTGACACATTGGAAAGAACAAACAAAAAAACAGAGCAAACTAGAATGCTATTTGGCCCTAAACAGAGAGTACACAGTGGCAGAATACCTGACCACTGTGACTGACCCAAACTTAAGGAAAGCTTTGACTATGTACAGACTCAGTGACCATAGCCTTGCTATTGAGAAAGGCCGCCGTAGGCAGACCTGGCTCTCAAGAGAAGACAGGCTATGTGCACACTGCCCACAAAATGAGGTGGAAACTGAGCTGCACTTCCTAACCTCCTGCCAAATGTATGACCATATTAGAGACACATATTTCCCTCAGATTACAGCGATCCACAAAGAATTCGAAAACAAACCCAATTTTGATAAACTCCCTTATCTACTGGGTGAAAAACCACAGTGTGCCATCACAGCTGCAAGATTTGTGACCTGTTACCACAAGAAAAGGGCAACCAGTGAAGAACAAACACCATTGTAAATACAACCCATATTTATGTTTATTTATTTTCCCATTTGTACTTTAACTATTTGCACATTGTAACAACACTGTATATATACATAATATGACATTTGAAATGTCTTTATTCTTTTGAAACTTCTGAGTGTAATGTTTACTGTTAATATTTATTGTTTATTTCACTTTTGTTTACTATCTACTTCCCTTGCTTTGGCAATGTTAACACACGTTTCCCATGCCAATAAAGCCCTTAAATTGAATTGAATTGATAGTAAGGTCGCAATGACACAGAAAGCAGTTCAATGTCGGGGTACAGAGTCGCTCTCTTACCAGGATCGCGGTCCGCTCTGACCAGGGTGAAGGTGGCCGGCTCCACTTCTCTGTCCGGGACTCATCCAGCCAAGTCTCCCAGCTGTATTGGGATTCAGCTGCCAGCAGCGTTTTCATTATTTAGTCCGTTCGTAGCGGGTATGTACACGATCAACAAGATCAGTCCAAAACCAACCACTGGAAATCCATGGTTGGCAGAATGTTTGTAAACTAAGTCTACAAATTAAAAACATAAAATAACGCCGCACTGCAGGTCGCAACAGAGACGCTGCTAGCCGCCATTGTCTTAGTTACGTTCAACGTTACGTCACGTATGACGAAAGCGCGTAAGTGCAAGCCCACAGACACCCATAGAGAATGTATTGAAAGCTTTGAAATGTGAAAAAAATAGATTTTACATGATATGAGGCTATGAGAGACTTCTGGGCGATTTTCAACTTGACTGAAATCGCCCCAAAAACGGGCGGGGCCATTTGAAGCACGACTTTAGCCTGATTTGACATTTAGTGGCTGGCAGATCAGACGTGAACACTGATAACTGCTGTTGCCATGATATAATTGATTAGAAAAAAAATCCCTTCCTTTTCCCGTTTGGCAGTGCGTCGCCCATATCGCCCTATTGAACAAGCCGTCCCTGGTTGCCATGATATAATTGATTAGAAAAAAAATCCCTTCCTTTTCCCGTTTGGCAGTGCGTCGCCCATATCGCCCTATTGAACACACCGCCCCTGCCCAGATCTGTGCCTCGACACAATCCTGTCTCTGAGCTCTACGGACAATTCTTTCAACCTCATGGCTTGGTGTTTGCTCTGACATGCACTGTCAACTGTAGGACCTTTATATAGACAGGTGAGTGCCTTTCCAAATCATGTCCAATCAATTGAATTTACCACAGGTGGACCCAAATCAAGTTTTGGAAACATCTCAAGGATGATCAATGGAAACAGGATGCACCTGAGCTCAATGTCGAGTCTCATAGCAAAGGGTCTGAATACTTACAGTCCCAGTCAAAAGTTTGGACACACCTACTCATTCCAGGGTTTTTCTTTATTTCTACTATTTTCTACATTGTACAATAATAGTGAAGACATCAAAACTATGAAATAACACATATGGAATCATGTAGTATCCAAAAAAGTTTATATTTGAGATTCTTCAAAGTAGCCACCCTTTGCCTTGATGACAGCTTTGCATATTCTTGGCATTCTCTCAACCATTGGCAGTTATGTTTTTTATTTTTAATACATTTGCTAACATTTCTAAAAACATGTTTTCGCTTTTTCATTATGGAGTATGGTGTGTTGATTGATGAGTGAAAAAAAATATTTAATCAATTTTAGAATAAGCCTGTAACGTAACAAAATGTGGAAAAAGGGAAGGGATCTGAATACTTTCCGAAAGCACTGTATATTTATTTATTTTGAAATGTTTCTTACCCTACACCCGAAAATGTGCATACACCATTTGAAAATAGGAAAGAAAAACCTTCCATATCCTTCATGTTGCTATATAGTGACAGTCACAGCTGTTTCTGACGGAGGAAACTATGAATATCAACTATCAAAGCTCTCTACTACCTCAACCACAGGGCTTGTTGCGAGGTCAGACATTTCTATCACGGCAGAGGTAGTCACTCCTGATATAGCAAGACGCGTTGCTTTGTCTGTTCTGTTGGGAGTAACTTTAGTAGTGTGTGTGTGTATGTGTGAGCGCCGGCTTTCATTTTTCAAAGGCAGGTTGAGCAGAGGGAATGATTGACAATTTCCCTGACTAAATCAATGGTGATATCCCCACCTGACCCAGGCCATGGTTGGCAGTGTGTCTGCAGAATGATGAACAATGAGAAAACGTTTCTCGGCAGCGGGGCTCTCACAACACCGTGAGGATTCATATTTATTTCCACTCAGAACATTATTGCATTATGTTCCCATTATGGCAGCATTGAATTTTTTATGTTTCCGCCCTGCTACTCAATCGATTGCTGTCTTTTTTGTCACAGGTGCACTGTATGCCAGCAGTCTTAAAGATACAATCTGTACCATTCATTTCCAGTCTAAAGTCCTGCCCCTGCACTTGCCAGTGAGTCTTGGGCAATTGTAATGGTGGTTATGACATATTTTAAATAACCTTCTTTCCTCATTTCTTCCTCATCTTTGCTTCATCAAGCTACTGTATCATAGACCTATCAATATCCTTACCCTCTAGTGGTCATGAAGAAAAGCAGAAGCAGAGAAAGAGAAAAAGAAGCTCAACAGAGACTGTACTGGAACAGCCTCTCTCTGTGCTACATGTGAAACCCCTCCCGCAGCAACACGTCGATACAGCTGGCCAATAATAAGCATACCAGAAGAATGTATCTGCAATGAAAAGCAGCTGCTATCCATAGAGTAAATGGATTGCCGTGCTCATCAGTCAATGTTGTGCCTTATGGGCTATCATATATGGCATATCAAGTAATGCTCTTTTATAGATTAAATATTCAAGTGTCCCAAAACATTGTTCCTCATTTCCTCACAGTCTTATCAGCAGTAAAACCCCCATATGAAGGAAATGTGTGATTTACAATGTGCTGTAAACAATAATGGCAAAATCATTGCACACAGATTCTCCCCTTCCCTGATTTGCATATTCTATTCATTTTCCTAGACACCCAGGTTTTGCTGGGTTCAGGGTTTGATTGAATAGCTCCAGAAGTTTCCCTATATACAGTATTAGCCTCAGGTCTCTCTCTAGTTTTTCCCTCTGTCAGCACTGGGATTGTGTTTGATTGAGTAACTGATGGACTGACCCTTGTTTTCTCGCCACATCCATCTGTCTATCCCCCACCAACTGTCCTGTGACAGGCCAGACCTGGGCACATCTCTGGGCTGACAACGCTGTTCCACTCCTACAAAGGGAGAAAAATGGCAATCAATTAGGAGCTCTCCACCATGTAACCTCAAACAGAAACAGAAAGAGAAAAGATATCTCATGTTGCAAATGAGGGAGAAAAGAAAGGATGATCAGGTCTGGCAGAGATGGTTTGCCAGGAAAAGGTCAGGAGAGATGTCTCAGTCAATACGACAGAAAAGGCCTATCATGGCTGAGTTGTTAGAGGCCATCCTTCAACACCACTCTGATGTTTCTCTTTTCTTTGAGTGGGAGAGAATAAGAACAGCAACGCTGCCATTTTCTCTGCGGGTGCATAAGAATGCTTGTAATGAAGGAATGCATGTAATCAATTCAGTGTCGTCTGTGGGTGGTAGGAAGGAGAAAGAGAGCAGAGGAGAGGAGAGGGCGTACTGTAAATGTACTCTACTTCTGTGCAATGTTCTGCATCTCTCTGCTAGCCGTGATTCAGTATCTACTCAGAGCTGTGGGTGATGGTTATTAAGGTGCCTGTGTAATGTGTGTAATAGGGGCTCGGCTCTAGGGGCACAGGAAGAAGGGGCACAGGAAGCAGTAAACAATGGCTGAAAACTCATCTCACCAGGGAACACACATTCTCGTCACTTCATTGCATTTTCCCAGCAGAGAGCAACCTCGCTCAGAAGTGTTTCCTTTGGCATTATGTGTCTCAGTAGTGGGGTTTTATCAAATATTTGTTGTTTTATATTTCATTTAGGCATGCTGATGTCATAGTACGGCAAAGCATACAAATGTTGCTGTGATGTTATAAGGAATGTGCATTAAAAGCATTGTGTGTTTGTTGTTGCCCAGGTAACGGAGACCCGGACAGGCCCTCTCGGATGCAGTAACTATGACAACCTTGATTCTGTCAGCTCTGTTCTTGTTCAGAGTCCGGAAAACAAAGTCCACTTGCAAGGTCTGTTTTTTTTGGGGGGGGGTTACGTATTCCCATAATGTAAATCCTGTACACCATTGTCACACTCTATACCAGTGCTTTGGAATCAACCACAAAAAAAAGCTAAAAAAAAATACGAAAATGTGAAATATGGTTTATAGCACTTCCTATCATAAAGTCTCCTACAATAGTATCTTCAAAGAGATCCACACATCCCATGACAACGATTGTATAGAGTAAAATACAGTTATTGGTCTGCTCTTACATTGTTAGTGTAGGAAGGCTAACAACTACACTTGAACTGCCTTGTGATTCACTCACTATAAATCACAAATTGTTGTCCTCTTATACAGTACCATAACAGTACACCTTAATGGTGGTTTTAAATCCTGGCTATGTTGTGTTGTTTCACAGGCCTGCAGGTTATCCTGCCAGACTACCTGCGGGACAGTTTTGTCCAGGCTGCTCTCAGCTACATCGCCTGTAACGGGGAGGGGGGCTTCATCTGTAAGGACAATGACTGCTGGTGCAAGTGTGACCCCAAGTTCCCAGAATGCAATTGTCCCTACATGGACATCCAAGCCATGGAGGACAGCCTGCAGAGGATCACTGAGACATGGGGGACACTTTACAAGGAGTTTGAGGACTCAGGTGAGGACAAAAGTTTTGGAACCTCTTTGATCTTTAGATGCTGAAACTATTAAACTTTTACGTTGATATATGAAGTGTCCAGTGCAACTCAGTCGACATGCAACATTTTCAAAATGTCTTCAGCAAGCTTAGCTCTAAACTTAGTTGTTGTGCATGCAGTTGATAGTTTATAAATTAATATGTGGACAATCTTTGGATAGTTTTTGTACGGGACTATATGAGCTGACTAAAAGTGTTTTATCATATGTCACGCAATTAAAGGTGGAGGGCCGTTCCTCAGTGTGTACCCCAGACATTATGATTTACGGTGTAAACCGTAATGAGTTACAATGAAACCTGGGGGACATGGCACACGGTCTATGTACAACAAATCACAACCTGATAGGATTGGATAAAAAAATAAACACATTCTTTCATAGGTAGTTTACAATATGTCTCGAGCAAATTAATCATCCATGAAACATATTTATTACCAGACCAGCGTTTTCACGTCGCCGTAGTAACAGCGTATGAATGAGAGCACTTAACATAATGTTGGGGTATTATTGCCTCTCTAGGTCACCCTGTAGTGGCCATGATTGCTGAGGTGAATTCAGAATGGATGAGCCTTTTTTCTCTTCAAATGTTTTTGGTGTGTGAAATATCTGTAAGTGCAATTACTTTCAAAGTTGATGTTTTAAGAGCAGGGAGGAGGGGAGAGTGCAGGCGAGTGCCAGGAATAAAGAGTTTCTCAGGTGGGGTCGTAAACGTGTCCTTCGGTAAAGGATATCAAAGACGTTTCAACATTCAGCTCTATCAGCGGAATGGGATGCCAGCAGGAAGAACGTAAACCTGGAAACATAGAACATGGTAGTACTGGAACCAATGACATTGTTCTCCATTACCCTTGAGGAATGTGGCAACATGCATGAAGTGATCGTATGCTCTTTTTTTTTAAACATACAGAAAAAAGGGTTCCAAAAGGGTTCTTAGGCCATCCCCATAGGATAACCCTTTTTTGAATCCAGGTAAAACCCTTTTTGGTTCCAGGTAGAACCTTTTTGGGTTCCATGTAGAACTCTCTGTGAAAATGGTTCTACATGGAACCCAAAACAGTTCTACTTACGTTTCTTCTACGTTTTTTTTAAAGGGTTCTCCTATGGGGACAGCCGAAGAACCCCTTTAGGTTCTAGATAGCATCTTTTCTTCTAAGAATGTAGGACCAAACAGAATCTGGAGGGGAAAATCCCAATTCCTTTATAATAATACTTTTCATAAGCAGATTTGTTTAATTCTTTATTTATTTTAAAGATATAAGGAATTGCTTTAGTAAGGTCATATCACAAATCATTTTGCTACTTGATTTTGAATTTTAAGACCCCTTTCTGCTAGCCCATACAAATGCATTAAATAACATATTCACTACATGGAACAGATAGTCCCCCCCAAAAAATCGAAAGGAAGCTTGTTCTGAAGTGTCTGTCCTATATCTGAGAGATATAAGAAAGATCAGGAAACGTTTGTTATTATGTATTTATCCCCTTATATTTGGCACTAAACAGTCTCCATATATACTTCCATTAATTTTTACTGGTACTGGGGGACCTTCAGACAAGTCTTGTGAGGCCTGTGGGCGTCCTAGAGCGAAACAACCGGCATGTACATTTTCGTGAGAGTCTCACCTTTATTAGTGTGTAGCCCAAACTGTTCGGACACTACAGACAGAAGTTGGCAGATATGCTGTACCGACTTCCGACGAGTCCCAAGACGCTTCTGGGCGTCCCAAGACGGAGAACACCATCGTTTTATTGAGTCTTATCTTTCCATAGAGGGGTCATAATAGTTTGTAGGCCAAACCGTTTGGATGCTACAGACGATTTTGTGAAAAGACCGATTTTCAGTATATCTCATTGTCTGACAAACACCACTCTAGCTCTGTCACTTTGCATCGCAGATGCATACGTGTTATATAGGCAGATGTGGTGGATTGAGACGCATCCAATGGCTTAAATTGACGGATTGACATGGGGATTTTTTTATCATGCTAATTAGATTTCTGCGGGGGGCGCAGACATCAACCTTGGGGGGTGTTGTTAATACCCTCAAACACCAAGTTAGGCATATCTCATTTCCAAATAGGCCATCATTACTGTCAATCGTGAATTATAATTAATCACGTTTTACCAGTGATATGTCCAAACTGCATGCCTGCCAATCGTTTGACCTCAATCAGTTCCATGGGAATATGCATTTAGATCTTCTTGAATTACTGTTTCGTAAGTGAATGAAAGCAGATGATGTTAACAAACTATTACCCACTGGGCAGATACTGGTTTAATCAACATTGTTTCCATGTCATTTCAATTAAATTGCGTTGAACCAAAGTGGATAGTAGTGGATAGTAGTGGGTAGACTTTCTTGTAGGCCTATTTTGTTTCAATCAAAGCATAAATACTGCCTAATGGTGCACGCTGTAGAGTTTTAGCCACATGAGGAAAAATAAATGTGAGTATTCAGCTTCAGATAAGAAATGACTGAGGTGTTTTTGGTGTAACATATTATGCTGTAGGTGTCTATGCTACAGTATGCTATTATATTCGGTATGTAAAATACTAATTAATCATTGTGTGATCTTCGAGACATTTATTCAGCTTTGATCTAACTTTAGGCCTACAAAATTAACACCATTGTGAGAAGTGATAATCTTCCATTTGTAATAATAATCATAATACATTATGAGAAGGACTATTAGGCGTAGGCAACATATCTTGATGAGGGTTATTTTAAGAGATTTGAGCGCCTTCGAATCGTGGTGCTGAAAGGACAGCGCCATAACCAAGTGGTCACATATCGTTCTGGGTTCCATTGCGCAGGAGGGGTTCTGTGGAGTTTCATGAACATCAGGGCAGACACGCTGTGAATTTGGATCCTAGATCTTGTTGGTGTGATGATAAGGTGGATGAGTTTTGTCTGCATACGTAATAGAGGTGGTGCATTTCTGTAAGCTAAGCACTTGGACAGTAGGGCGAGTTCAAGTGAGTTGTACATGAGCCCCAAGTCCATAACAAACTGTTTTGAGGACAGATGTTTTAGCAACCCCTGGTAGAGTTTTCTGTCTGTGGCTGTTCTTGTTATGGCAGATTTGACCTGCTCAAAGTGATCAAGCCTCTGACCGACGGGCCTCTGCACACACGCCTACAGTTATTCACCATTTGTGCCACCAACAGAGAGAGAGGACAGGGAAGAAACCACAATTTTCCTACCTAAAACCTGCTATAGCCTACATGTCTATTTAGTTTGTCATTCTTTTGTTTTAATTGAATTTTTGTGGTATTACATAGTATTCAATCACCTTTTAATTTGTTCTCTCTTTCTGACAGATGAGTTCAAGACCTTCCTGACGAGGCTACCGCAGAACTTCTTCCTGAACGTGACAACGATCCAGCACCTGTGGTCGTTGGATGGCGTGTTCCAGTGGCGCTACGAGCAGCTGGAGAACAGCATGAGAGTGCTCTTCAGACGAGCCCAGAGAGTGGTGTTCAAGCTCTTCAGCCTCAGCAAGAGGTGTCAGAGGCAGCCTCATATCCGTCTACCCAGAGAACGGTGAGAGAGTCCCGGTCTGCTCCCACATTACACCTCTTACCACTGAGCCCCAATTACACTTTAATCACCCATCCAGGAAGCTGATAGCGATCCTCTCCATCTCCCCATGTGTGAGTGGGAGTAACAGGAAGCAAACCAAACAGTGTTTATCTACGTTATTACTGCCACTGTGAGGAAAATGTAAAGCACTATACTTTTTTTGTGACTATAGACTGTGAAGAGACGGAGAGAGGGCAGCCAAATTCTGATCTTTATTTCACTAATTGGTATTTTGACCAATCACATCAGCTCTGAAAAATATCTAATGTGAAAAGATCTGATGTGATTGGTCAAAAGACCAATTAGTGGAAAAAATATCAGAATTGGGCTACTTGTGTGAACGCAGCCTTTGTGCTCAAACTTTGACCATTAGTCCAAATTATGCAGTTTTGCTTTCTGCATGTCTATTTCACAGTAGAAGCAATACGTTTAACTCTCTTTGTAAAGATTTCTAAAAATTATTTTCAGAATGCATTAATGATATATGTTTGTTTAAATTAACTCACACATGCATTATTATTTCCTAGTAAGAGTAACTGTTACTAAGTACAATTGTGCAGATTTTTTAAAAACAATAAACCAATTAAATTCACATCCATTTTCATTCACATATTGTATTGCCATCCTATTTTATATTCCATTGTGTCTCTCTGTCTCCATCCCAGGCCCCAGTCCTACTGGCTGAGCCACTTCCAGTCTCTCCTCTACTGTTCTGATAACAACCAGCTGGGTTCCTTCTCTGAAGAGCTCCACAGCTGTACCTGCAGCTACGAGCACAGCCCCTGCCAGCTGTCCCCGCCATGTGCCATCGGAGAGGGCCCCGCCTGCGCAGCCTGCGCCCTAGACAACCACACCCGCTGTGGGAGCTGCAACCCTGGATATGGCCTGACCCAGGGGGCCTGCAGAACCATGGTGGCTGACTCTACAGAAAACTACCTAGGCTTTGAGACAGACCTACAGGACCTGGAGCTGAGATACCTGCTACAGAGGGCTGACCGTAGGCTGGAGGTAAATATAGTGCCTTCAGAAATTAATATGTTTCTCACCCATCTACACAAAATATCCCATAATGACAAAGTGAAAACATGTTTTTTTTGCAAATGTATTGAAAATGAAATACAGAAATATCTTATTTACATAAGTATTCACACCCCTGAGTCAATACTTTGTAGAAGCACCTTTGGGAGTGATTACAGCTGTGAGTCTTTCTGGGTAAGTCTCTAAGAGCTTTCCACACTTGGATTGTGCAACATTTGCCCATTATTGTTTTCAAAATTCTTCAAGTTCTGTCAAATTGGTTGTTGGTCATTGCTAGACAGCCATTTTCAGGACTTGTCATAGATTTTCAAGTAGGGTTAAGTCAAAACTGTAACTCGGCCACTCAGGAACATTCACTGTCTTCTTGGTAAGCAACTCCAGTGTAGATGTGGCCTTGTGTTTTAGGTTATTGTCCTGCTGAAAGGTGAAATCATCTTCCAGTGTCTGGTGGAAAGCAGACTGAACCAGGTTTTCCTCTAGGATTTTGCCTGTGCTTATTTCTTATCCTGAAAAACTCCCCAGTCCTTAATGATTACAAGCATACCCATAACATGATGCAGCCACCACTATGCTTGAAAATATGGAGAGTTTTACTCAGAAATGTGTTGTATTGGATTTGCCCCAAACTTAATACTTTGTATTCAGGACATAAAGTAAATTGCTTTGTCACATTTCTTGCAGTATTACTTTAGTGCCTTATTGCATATAGGATGCATGTTTTGGAATATGTTTATTCTGTATGGTCTTGAGAAAGTAGATAGACTTATTGTTCTGACAATTTAAACAACCATGTATGTCCTTCCAGGTCCATGCCATCTTCATCAGTAACGACATGCGACTGAACAGCTGGTTCGACCCGTCCTGGAGGAAGAGGATGCTGCTGACGCTGAAGAGCAACAAGTACAAGTCCAACCTGGTCCACATGCTGCTGGGCGTGTCTCTCCAGATCTGCCTGACCAAGAACAGCACCCTGGAGCCCGTCCTCACCCTCTACATCAACCCTTTCGGAGGCAGCCACTCTGAGAGCTGGTACATCCCTGTCAGTGAGAACAGCTTCCCAGACTGGACAGCCACCAAACTGGACCTTCCCCTGGAGTGCTTCAACTGGACCCTGATGCTGGGCAACAAGTGGAAGACCTTCTTCGAGACTATCCACATCTACCTGCGGAGCCGGATAAAGACGCAGGGCGGTGGAGGCCCGGCGGGGGCAGTGAACGACAGCCTCTACTATGAGCCATTAGAAATGCTGGATTCTTCTCAGAACCTGGGCTACATGAAGATCAACAGCATCCAGGTGTTTGGCTACAGTATGCACTTTGACCCAGAAGCGATCCGCGACCTGATCCTGCAGCTGGACTACCCATACACCCAGGGTTCCCAGGACACGGCCCTGCTGCAGCTGCTGGAGATCAGGGACCGGGTCAACCGACTGTCCCCTCCAGGTCAGCAGAGACTGGACCTGTTCTCCTGTCTGCTCAGACACCGGCTCAAACTGACCGCCAGTGAGGTGGTCCGCATACACGCCTCGCTGCAGGCCTACAGCAACCGCCTGCCCAACTCTCTGGATTACGAGACCACCAAGCTGTGTAGTTAACAGTCACTAGGGGACGACTGGGGGACGTTAAAGATAAACGGCTACAAGGGGAACTATTGAACAGCTGAATGGCGTACTGGTACAGTATTTGGGGTTTCAGTGGTTTCTTGATTTCTTGGATTACAAGACCATAAAACGATGTACTAAATGGAGCAGTTGGATGAAAAGGACAACTGAATTATATAGTTTGGCTTTCAGTTGTGTGGCGACTCAATGACTTGGGAGGTGCTGATAGCCGGTGCTTTTTGGTCCAAAGAAGTCACACGCAAACTTTGACATCCGTAAACAAAAGCAGATCTAGAAATTGAAATATTTAATACTCTCTCTCCACATCCATTTGACCATCTTCTTTAAATTCAACCCTTCTCATTTATACAGTATATACTGAAACCAACTGGAGGGAGATTTTAAGAAACATGGTACAGTCTATTTGTTTTTATCTCTTTTATATGTTATTTTGCTTCAGTGATCGTGCACTTTCCATAACAACCAGAATACAGTGGTGTCAGTCAGTCAGTTTTGTAGATAACTTGTTATTAAAACATAATGGATTAACAACTGGGGATATTATTTGTCAAACTTACTTAGAGCCGAGGAACAGCTGTTATCACATCTCATTGTAAGACATTTAACACATTAATCGCAGGAATTGAAACCACTTAGTAACTGAGTGAATGAAATTAAACATGATAGAGTAGTTTGATCAAATCATTAGGAACCTCTATTATTCTCATTGATGTGGTTAGTTTATGGCTTGTGACCACACTTCTCCATCCTAATTGATTAGAAGACTCTAACACACATACTACAGATGCAGAAAGAAGTGAACAAAGCTGAGTTTACCGTAAGACTGGTTCCATTTGGGTCGCGGCTAGAAACCCACAGGGTGTTTTTTTATTTTTTTTTATCTGAAAGCAGATTGAATTGGAGCAGATCAGACAACACTCCAACTGCCCTCTAGAACCAGGAGTGATGCCCCTCTACTTCACTGGGCCACAGATCCATACCTACAGTATTAATGTCAGGACTATATGGTGTCAGATCTCATTTACTAACATGGCCGTGTCTCATGGCATGGCTGTCCAACAGAGCAGATGAGGGAGAGGTCAAACACCTATGAAGGTCAACGGCTGTAACCTCCATTTGTCTGCTCCTCTTATCAAATCCTTCTCATGTCAGAAGCTAAACTCCAAGGAGGGTAACATGGTTGAACAAGGGTTGATGCTGCGGTGTGTGTTGGATGTACACAACCGGTCAAAAGTTTTAGAACACATACTCATTCAAGGTTTTTATTTTATTTTCACTATTTTCTACATTGTGGAATAATAGCGAAGACATCAAAACTATGAAATAACACATATGGAATCATGTAGTAACCAAAAAAGTGTTAACATATTTTAATATATTTTATATTTGAGATTCTTCAAATAGCCAGCCTTTGTCTTGATTGCAGCTTTGCACACTCTTGACATTCTCTCAACCAGCTTCAACTGGAATGCTTTTCCAACAGTCTTGAAGGAGTTCCCACATATGCTGGGCACTTGTTGGCTGCTTTTCCTTCACTCTGCGCTCCGACTCATCCCAAACCATCTCAATTTGGTTGAGGAGGCCAGGTCATCTGATGCGGCACTCCAATACTCTCCGTCTTGGTAAAATAGCGCTTACACAGCCTGGAGTTATGTTGGGTCATTGTCCTGTTAAAAAACAAATGATAGTCCCATTAAGCCCGAACCAGATGGGATGGCGTATCGCTGCAGAATGCTGTGGTAACCATGCTGGTTAAGTGTGCCTTGAATTCTAAATAAATCACAGCAAAGCACCAGCAAAGCACCCCCACACCATAACACCTCCTCCTCCATGTTTTACGGTGGGAAATACACATGCGGAGATCATCCGTTCACCCACACTTTTCCTCACAAAGACACGGCGGGTGGAACCAGAAATCTCCAATTTGGACTGCAGACCAAAGGACAGATTTCCACCGGTCTATTGCCCATTGCTCGTGTTTCTTGGCTCAAGCAATGCTCTTCTTCTTATTGGTGTCCTTTAGTAGTGGTTTCTTAGCAGCAATTTGACCATGAAGGCCTGATTCACACAGTCTCCTCTGAACAGTTGATGTTGAGATGTGTATGTTACTTGAACTCTGTGAAGCATTTATTTGGGCTGCAATTTCTGAGGCTGGTAACTCTCATTAAATGATCCTCTGCAGCAGAGGTAACTCTGGGTCTTCCATTCCTGTGGCGGTCCTCATGAGAGCCAGTTTCATCATAGCGTGTGATGGTTTTTGCAACTGCACTTGAAGAAACCTTCAAAGTTCTTAAAATGTTCCATATTGACTGACCTTCATGTCTTAAAGTAATGATGGACTGTCGTTTTCTTTGCTTATTGAGCTGTTCTTGAAATAATATGGACTTGGTATTTTACCAAATAGGGCTATCTTCTGTACACCCCCCTACCTTTTCACAACACAACTGATTGGTTCAAATGCATTAAGAAGGAAATAAATTCCACCAATTAACTTTTAAGAAGGCACACCTGTTAATTGAAATGCATTCCAGTTGATTACCTCATGACGCTGATTGAGAGAATGCCAATCGTGTGCAAAGCTGTCATCAAGGCAAAGGGTGGCTGTTTGAAGAATATCAAATATAAAATATATTCTGATTTTTTTTAACACTTTTTTGGTTACTACATGATTCAATATGTGTTATTTCGTAGTGTTGATGTAGTTACAATGTAGAAAATAGTAAAAATAAAGAAAAACGAGTAGGTGTTCTAAAACTTTTGACCGGTAGTGTATACCTGAATTTCAGGCTGTTCTTTGGATGCAAGAGTGTCAGATATTGGAGAATAACAACTTTTTCAAAACAGGTAGAAAATGGCCACTGTGAAGAGATGAAAAAGGTCCTGGTTGTCTCTTTGGTCATTATAATATAATTATTTCCCCAAAAATCATCAGTACACTCTGCCCACCTACTCCTGGTTAACACGTCCCATTAGAGGTGAGACAGAGAACAGACGAAAACTTTATATCCCATCATCTCACATCATCCCTCCAACAAATTAAACCTTTCCCCTCACTAAGTACTTGAGCTAGGGACGCTAGAGTAAAAAGGAAAAACAGGGCGGAAAATTCATTCTGTCTGCCCATTTATTCTTCCTGAGGAAAAAATGAAAAGATCCCCACGTAGGTGACTATATTTATGATGTTTAACAACCCTCTGCTCGTTCTGCAAATTACCAGACTCAGTTATATAGCCCATCCTGGTGCTGCTGAGGTGGCTGGCCATAATTCATTATTGTGAGCTTGTAAATAGTTTTTATTCGTGCTGTGGAGGCCCGCCGTGTCCGTTATGAGACACTGAGTGGGCGGAGGAGAGGCAAGGCTTTGATGAAGGAAGGTCTGACCTTTACTGAGATGTCAATCAAAAGTGTCATATTATAAATTAGCTCATGTACTGTATGGCTGTCCTATTGCAACCTGATTGCGTACTTTTATGCATTTACTGTTCATAACGCAGTTCTTTTTCTAAACTGAACATGTCTTAATAAGACATGGCTGCTCATAGAAGAGAGACATTTAATTATTCTGAAATAGGTCATTATGATGTTATGATAAATGTAAAATAAATATGTGTTACACTGTCACAGACACAATCATAACATTTGCTACACTGACCAATTTTCTTGCACTCCACATAATACCATGTTGGAAACACATTCACACATTAAATTATACAGTCAAGTAATTTAGCATACTTGAAGTTCTTATGGAAGATCAAAGAGAGTAATAATGAAGTGAATGGTGCTGCTTGGTCTGTTAAATTGAAAATTGTTTAATATTATTTTTTATTAGTCCACATAATTATGATGATGCCACATCATCCGCATCACCATGATGATGCTAAATGCATTTTGCATCATCATGATGATGTGGCCGGAGACACTTTGCTTATTGAAAGTCCAATATCTTCAAAACTTGACTGCTGACATGCAAAACATTTTGGGACTGTATCAACAGTGGACTAAAGAAGAACATACTAAAATATAGCTTTTGAGTGGATTTTCCCTTTAATGCATAGGCTGCGGGGCAACCATTGTACTGTGACACAGGAAGTAAGATCCCAGGTTTCTCTTTGAAAACACTTTCCCCTCGTGGGGACCTTGCAGTTAACTGGGAACAGCAAACACAAGAAGAGGCAAAAGGTAACCGTCGTCGGCCGATAAATCAATAGTCTGCTTCATTACCTGGGAGAACAAAAGGCTCTGCAGAGAGATCGATAATTCCTCTGAGGAGGCTCATCTGGCATTTTGTCCCCCCTCCGATCCCCCTTCCCGCCACCTGTCCCCCGGACTAGACGAGACTAGATCAGCACCCATTACTGAGATGGCAGTTTCCGCCCGGCACGGTTTGTATAATCACAAATCAATCCTGACTTTTAGTTCCAACGATGATGCATTGTAAAATGACATTAGTTCAGGTGTCTGGCTAGCGAACGCCATTGCTTAGCCACTCAGGCTGTGAACACAAAACCCTCAGCCGTGAGGAGAACAACAAATTACATAGCTCAGGGATTCTTGAAAGTTGGGACAATCCTTTTCCAGCAGGGAAACTTTATTTTTTAGTTTAACATTTTTTGATTTTGTTGCATTATTTGAGAGAGAAAAAATTAATTAGGGGAATTTTATGAAGGGGAAAGATTTGTTTTCGGAATTTCCTAAATATGCTCAATATTATTCATTTCCATGTCGGCTCTACGCCAGGAAATGTCTGGAGCAAAGGATTCCAATTTCAAACTCTTCAAAACAGTGTTTAAAATGATAATAACTGGCAATAATGAATATTAACTAATACAAGGATATTATGTAGCATCTTGCAGTAGACCTTTCTGACTTAAAGGAATATTTATCTAAAAACTGTGATCCCTAAAAAAATGGTGGTTTGTGGTTAACTCCGTCAGATTTGTCTAAACTCCTGAATTAATCATGAATGAACAGGG